AAAAAAAAAAAAGAAAGAAATGTACTCAGTAGTATACTCATATACAGTTTTTAATAGGAAGCCCAATTATTCTCTTTTAAAAGGTGAATTAAATAGAATTTTCACTGAGTAAGATGGATTGTACACCCAACCTGGGTGTTTAAAATGGTAGTAAAGTACAAGGCAGTTATTAACAGTACATATGTTTAAGAGAGAATTAAGACCTATGTAAAAATGAAATACTATAATTGAATTTGCATGAAGAACAAGCTGTTCTTCTGGAATTTTTCCTTTGTTGATGCTGCTATTGTTTTATATCTGCTCTTTTTAAATAATGCTCCTAAAAAGATGTGGAATTGTGAATTATGTGAGAAGGGAAGGCAGGGCAGGTAAGATGGTAGGATGCTGATGACTGAAGTCTAAACTTTGAGTTCATTTGTTAAAATATCTTTCAAATTTCACACTTATTTTTTATTCTCACTACCTCAGCACTAGTCAAGCTGGTTATCACCTCATGATTGCTTTACTTCTGATAGCAGCTGATTTCCCTGATTTAAAGCTCTCCTCGTTCCACCTTCCTATCACCACTCTCCTATTACCCATTTCTTTACTTGTGCCATTTACCTGCTTAAACACCTTCAGTGTATCCTAATTCTCTGAACTCTATGCTTAAAATTCTCTTTTATGAGGGATTTGAAACACAATTAGAAGAGTTTTTCAGAGCATGTAGATATGAGGGCTGTTTCATATTGAAAGCAATGATGGGAAAAGACAAATGCAACTAGGCTGAAAACAAATCTGGAGGACTTTGAGAAATTAACTGATACAACTTTCATTTCTCATAACTAGCTTTTATTAGTTAACCTTGGAATAGTTTATGAGTAGGTCACCTGGATTTAAAAATAGAAAATGTGGGCCCTTGTTTCATAATGCTGACTTCAGAAACCCTCCCCAGTCTGACTAACCCTCCACCTCTCCTGCCATGATTGCTTTTCTTTAGTCATTCAGCATACCTTTTCTATTCTACTATTGAGCATTAGTTAATTCTTCCTCTCTTCTCATCAATTTAATTTTAATTGTTCCCCCAAAGTTTGATATTAATTCAAATATAACTGTTTTTCTAACAAATAGACTTTTTATTGAAGGCAGTTATTAAAATATGATTTTAATCTGTATGTTTCATAGCCTAATGCTGTCCTAAGATCATGAAAGTGTATACTCCTCATCTTCTCCTAAATTTAAGGATGCCATTCCTTGACTTATGTTACCATATGATAGTTTACTACCCTTATTTAATCTTTATTTCATTTATGTCTTTTAAACTTTCTTTTAAAATTATTTCTAACTTTATTTTTCCCTCTAACTTTTAAACATAGACATTCATAAATACTCATTTTTTATTAAGTCATTTGTATATAGATCATAAATACCTTTATGCCATTATGAAGCCATAAATACTCATTTCTTTTTTAATTTTTTATTTACTTATTTATTTATTAGCCATCCATTTTGGGGAGGGGATAACAAGGTATCTTGTTGCAGGGTTTTTTTGTTTGTTTATTTGTTTGTTTGTTTTGCCGAGGCTGGGCCTGAACCCACCACCTCCAGCATATGGGGCTGGCGCCCTACTCCTTGAGCCACAGGCAACACCCAATACTCATTTCTTGATCCTCTGGTCTACTTCTTTCCTCTCTTCCTCATGGTCCTAACACACCCCCTAAATTTCACAGGCATATTTTAAGGCCTTGATATATTTTACTGATTTTTATTTTCTTAAATCAATAATTAGAGGAGCTTTCTACCAACACATTTTAGTATTAGCAGTTATAATCAAGGTAAAACATTGAACAATGTCTACATTTTAAAGGATATCAAAGTAAATTAATCTCACAAAATTTGAGGATAATGTGACTTGCTGCTTCTCAGTAAGGCTGAGATCCAATAATTTGTTGGGAACTGAAGTTCCTAGTGTTCATCTACATCTTGTCACATGTATTCTGAAAAGAAGTCAAGATATTGTCATGAAGCAAATGGAGAATAATCATATCCTCTAACTTTCTACCCCCAAGGAAAGTAGACTGCTTTGGTCTTTGATAGGGTCTTGCACTTCCATATCCAAGGGTAACTATGAGATTCATTGTTCTTTTTCACATTCTGGAGTAGCATTTTATATGTGATATATGTAGTGTCTGTTGTTATATGCTCATTTTCACAGATATTTATGATACTGGATTATATTATGATTTGTCAACAAATAGGGTATATATTATATCCAATAGTTTATTGTCCTCTGCAAAGTAGTTACATCAGAAAACTATGATGAAGGACAATTATAGCTCACTTAAAAAATTCTCATCAGAATTGCACAAGAAGCATGAAACTTTCTAATCTTTATTTTTTAATGCCTAGATTTATGTTCAGAAATACGCAAGAGTCATGTCTTCATTATTACTTTATCATTTTCTAATAACTCAACCAAACATGTTTATTTTAACAATACAATCTTCTATTTTCTATTATATTTGGCATTATTTACTCACTTAGAGCAATATATATAGTATATTCTCTATATTCACCGAAATATGTGTTTATTTAAAAAAACACACAAAATGTTTGGAATTCACAAAGCTAAATGTACCTAATGGCTATTAAGATTATAACATTTAAAATTCTTAAAGTAAAGCACCTTTTATTTGATAACTGTGGCCCTGAGGAAACACAATATTTCTGTTTACCCTTTCTTAAATTTGTAAAAATTTATATTAAGAAAATCTGGAACTAAATAACACTATTAGTGTAATAACCACTAATAAGTAGTTAGTGTTTTTAGATATTCTCTTCTGGTTCAAATCTTTACATATAAGTTTTGTTCAGGTATGAAAGATATATATGGAGTTTAGAAAGAACTTAGCTACTTTGAACATTTCTAAATTAGATTTGATATCCCTCCAAATTGAGGGGAGTTTGCTTGTATTCTATTTAAAATGTGTCATCCAATGCCCACATGCTCTGGAAAGGACATATATGCCTTCTACCAAAAATTTTACATCTAAGTGTGTTAATTAATGACTCATCAGCTCAGTCAAAACATTTTTTTATATGAAGTCCAATTTTATCCTGTTGACAAACTCTCCACTCTACAACTTCAGTTTACCTCTTATGAAAAAGTCTTAACTACATAAGCTTTCTGAGCCTGGGGTAATCACAAGTGGTAGAAAGCCATTAATTATATTCTAATCCTTCATTTAAAGAATTTTCACATCTCCTCTTCCTTCAAATTATTATTATTGTTATTGTCATTATTATTATTATTATTATTATTATTTGTGAGACAGAGTCTCATTTTCTTGTACCTGGTAGAGTGCTATGGATTCATAGCTCACAGCAACCTCAAACTCTTGGGCTCAAGTGATACTCTTGCCTCAGACTTCCAAGTAGCTAGGACTATAGGTGCCTCTGACAATGTCTAGCTATTTTTTAAGAGCAAGAGGTGTCTTGCTCTTGCTCAGGCTGATCTTGAACTTGTGAGCTCAAATGATCCACCTGCTTCAGCCTCCTAGACCTTCAAAATTTGTTAATTTTACTTTCAAAATGTTTTAACCTCTAGAAAAGTTGACTGACAAATAAAAGAAGATACTCTTCTCCATTTGAGACATGTTACAGAAACATGTAAATATATGGAAGCCCTGACGTAGAGGGACAAATCTCAGAGTAGCATCTCTATCAATGAGGAGTAAATCAAGCAAACCAAGATAATTTAAAAATAATTGCTTAAATACTATAAAATAGACACAAAGACTATAAATACTTATTAAAATCCCAACATTTTTTATTTAATTTTCAACTTACCCTTCATCTCCATTCTCACTATTAGAAATTCCACCCAAAAGATGTGTTTCACTAGGCCTCGCCTATTCTCCTTTTCCTCTGCACTCTACCTCTCCATTTATACTATTTTCATGATTCTTTTCAATCTGCATCATAAAGTCCACAGAACTTGCAGCCTAGCAACCAAACAATAACCTCTTCAGAGTGTAGGAGGAGGAAATAACTGAAATAGCAAACCTATAAACTTTTTTAGACTGCAGAAAAAGGGCAAAGAGTGCAAACATCCATAAACTTATAATTTTTGCCTTGGCACAGCTAAAGGCCCACTTCTTTACTCTCCTCATGACTCGAGATAAGATACTAGATACATAGTGAAATTTGAATTTTTATAAAGATTTTTTCGTGTGTTTATCAAATATAATTAACTATTTTTAGAAAAAAATGTACACTAAAAAATGTTACTCTGACATTTAAATCTAACTTTACCATTCTGTATTTTATTTACTA